TAGAAATACATCTGGCTGTTTCTTGATTTCTGAGGATGTAGCGGCATTTACCTCCGATAATGGTTTACGAGGCAGAGGAAAAGGCAGTCCTGGACATAACACAGCAGAGTAACTATACATTTAGTATATACAATCAAAGCAAAAAGATAACCGTCATCTATTTGCTATCACCGGATATTGGCAGAAGCAGGAGCATATCAAGTTAAACTATAAACAGAACCACATATTTACGAACTGCCAGGGCCTCCCAACAGCGCAAAGCGGCGCACGATACTAGGACCAATCTCATCGTACTCTGCCTTGGTGTGGCAGTAACTGCGGAACTCCGGCGTCTGTCCCAGCAAGCTACCTCCGAACCACGGTCCGTGGCGCTGTCTCTTGTGTGTCACAACCGCCACGTCCAGTCCACCACTTCTGGCACCTCCGCTGCGCGCCTCCGACGCCCGAATGCGTGCATCCACCAGATGACGGATATCACGCTGAAGACGCCGTCCAAAGTCCTTGTACAGCGTAGATCCACCGGACAACACAATGTTCTTGTACAGACCCCTTCTCACATCGATGGGGGAAGACTGGATCACGCCGTCGACGACGTTAGGCAGGGGGGTCAAAAAGTCCGACGAATAGATCTCGGGGTTGAAGAAGATCTCCGGCGCCAGGAAACGTTCGTAGCCCACATCGATGCTCACGGTCCGGCCGTTGGGCGAAGTCACAGTGTGCTTAAGCAGGCGGTCCGGCTCACGGTCGTAGCGGGCGAATTCCTTGACGATGTCGGGGCACACATAGCAGTACTCTTCCTTGACCTTCTCAGCCGTCTTCAGGCTGCTGTCCGGCTCACCGCGGTCACGGAGCAAGCTCTGGACAAAGTAGGTGATATCGCGACCGGCAATGGGTATACTCTTGATAGATGATCCGATGACGTAGCCTTCGGCGACGGGAATAACGTGTGTGACACCGTCACCAGAATCGATGACGGTTCCGGTGAGAGAGCGGTCGGTCACCTTCGAGGAGGTCCAGGAGGCAGCAAGGGCCAAGACAGCCTGGACGGCGATGTAGAGACCGGCACAGTTGAAAGACTCGAACATGATCTCGGCGGTGTTCTCACGGTTCTCGGGAGGGTTCAAGGGCTATGCACACAATGTCCGGTCAGCATCGCATCCGCCGAAGGGCAATTGGAGAAGTCGGAGGTCTTACCGGCTCAGTGAGGAGGAAGTAGTGGTCCTCCGGCTCGACGCGCAAGTACTTGAAGATGGAATTCGACCAGAACCGCTCCATGTGATCCCAGTTCTCGATCTGACCATGGCGAATGGGGTAGTTGATAGCATAACCGGGCCCGTTGGCCGCTGCCAGAGCTTCATCGCCAATGAAGAAGTCCAAGTCCTCTGTACCACGCTTCGCGGATAGATGGGAGCCTGCCCCACCACCGGTAGCTAGGAAGGAGGGTTTGTTCGCAACAGGAGGTCTACCGGCAGCGGAGGAGCCAGCGCCTCCGGCACCAGCTTTGGTCGCAATGGCGGTGGGAAAGACGAAAGAGGGCGAGTCGTTACCGGCGAAACCTGGGAGACTTGTCAGCCTGGAGCTTGCCGGCGGAGCTCCACGTGGAAGCTATCAGGAGTCCTACCAAGCTTGGAATAACCGGTACCGCTGAGCGGAGAGAAGGAGCGGATTAGTGACCGCGCAAGTAAAGTGTGATTTGGGGATGGTAAAGGGCATACTTGTCCATGACAACGGCCGGAGTTTGGGAAGCCATGATTGATGATGTGGAGTACACGCACACTCCCCCTGATCAGTGGTCGGACTAAGGAGGTAGATGGAAGAGGTGAAATTAGACGATTGAATGGGATTGCAGGGATGAGAGCGCAATCATCCAGGAACTCCGCCAGGAAGGACGGGCGAGAATTATGACGAGAAGGGGATTGATTGGAGGGGAAGAGGAGGGGGGTAAAGGGACGGAGATGGAGATGGAAGGCGGGCAGTCAGTTCAAGGATGGATGGAATGCCTGGATGCCCTGCCTGGATACTGCGGCTGCCCCATACTTTACGGGTAACGACGTCACGTTTGGTATGGTACACCCACTGCATCCACAATACACTGCAGATGTTATTATTACCTTCAATTCCACATGTAGATAGAATCTCACTCCTTTTGGTGATAACCTTAACTAGCAATGCATAGTCGGGGATTATCCTGGTTCTTGTAGTGTACCTCTCATGTGACCAACTCCCATTGGGAGGTGAATCAGTTCTGTTCTCAAAGTTGAAATGTAGACTCCATCTTCATGATATTCGTTAAAAAAGTAAACCCTCCTCAGGAAACCACCTCCAATGCAGTTGCTGAGGAAGGAACCTGATCCAATGATCCCATCTACATGTTTGGGCTTCACCATCCCCCTTCTTCTATACAATTGATACCTACCATATCCTTAAACACCTCTTAAAGCCTTCTACTACCTCAATTCCTATCTTCTTTTACTACCTCCCTATCTCCCTCCCTCCCTCCCGCTCCGCATCCTAGGTGATCATTTTTACTATATCAAACCTATCCTTAACGGTTATACTCACCGTTTCACCTCTGCGTTCACTACAATTACGCCGCTCGAAATCAGAAAATCACCAATCGCCCCGGCAGCAAGCTAGTATCAAGAGACCCGCGTCTTCCTCTGAACAGTCAATATTTTCTTTTGTGTGTTGACGAGTTCGTTTCTTCCTCTCTTCATCCCCTTCTTACTACTCTCTTCTACCATCTTCGTCCCAGTGTTGATACCAAACCCAACCCTGCAAGTCTAAGTGTACCAAAACCACGGAGGGAACCTCAACAAGTGAGTTGCCGGGGCCTCCCGCCCTGAAGCACTCACGGCCTCCGAGACTGCGTCGTCTTCTCCAGTGCTTCTCCAGGTTGCACCTCTCAGTTCGCCTGAGAGCCCAGCAACTGGATTCTACAATGAGTCGCTCAAAAGGAGGCGGAGATATCTCTGCCATCTTCGTTCATGCGGGAGCCGGCTTTCATGCCCCGCACAACGAGAAAGCGCATCTAGAGACCTGTGAGAAGTGAGTTCTCCACGCCCAACCCACGCCTTCGCAGGTCAAGTCTGAACTGAGCTAACGAGGAGCAGAGCGGCGAGAGTAGCAATGTCGTTGCTGAAGAACGGTGGATCGGCCGTCGACGCTGTTGAGATGGCCATCATGGTGCTGGAGGATAGTGAGATGACCAACGCTGGCTACGGTAGCAACCTCAATCTTGAAGGCACTGTCGAGTGTGATGCTACTGTTGTCAATCATCTAGGACGCAGTGGTGCTGTGGGTGCCGTCGGTCGTGAGTATCTCATGTCTTTCCCAAACCGATCTGTACGGTCAACTATTCAGTGCTAACGGCCTGGTGTAGAGGTCAAGAATCCCATCTCCCTTGCACGGGTCATCCTTGACGCTTCCTCAAAGCCGCTCTCGCTGGCCAGAGTACCTCCAAACTTTCTAGTGGGACAGGGTGCTACAGATTTCGCGTACGAACACGGGCTGGTGGTGCTACCCCCGGATGGCCTAGTAGCTCCGTCGGCACGAGAAAGGTGGACTCATTGGAGACGTGATCTGGAAAACGCTACTCTCCGGGAGAGGAAGCAGTCTGGAGAACACACTCGCCTGAGCTCGCACTTTCGCCGACCCCCTACCGCCAGTCCAGCCCAGCTGCTCTCTGCGGCTTCGAGCCCAGGGCCAGCCCCGGTGACTGGAGAAAGCACTCAAAGTACCAAGAGCTCACCCACTGCAGACCCACGTCGTATCGTGCCGCCGGCAGGCTCGGAGCTAGCACCCTTTGTTGCCCCCAGGGTCAAGGATGGCAAGCAAACCGATGGTGCGCGGTCCATTGCTGTTGGGAACATGTCTACGAGTCACGATAACTTGTCTATTGACGAAGCTCCCCATGGCGTCGACGCAATGGACATTGACCGAGTCAATGATACCGTCGGCGCCATAGCCATAGACAGCAAAGGAAACATCGCAGCGGGCTCTTCTTCCGGAGGCATTGGAATGAAGCATCGCGGGCGGATCGGCCCTGCCGCGCTTGTTGGTATTGGAACTGCGGTAATCCCCGTGGATCCTAATGATCCAGAGGCAACCTGCATTGCGACTGTTACTTCGGGGACTGGTGAGCACATTGCAACGACCATGGCCGCCAGTACCTGCGCGTCACGCATCTACTATAGCCATCGAAAGCGCGAAGACGGCGGATTCGAAGAGGTCACCGAAGATGAGGCCATGAGAGCGGTTATTTCCAACGATTTCATGGGTACTACTCGCTGTCTGCATTCGAAGTTTACAAGCTAACAGGTGATTAGGACATCCGGGCGTCAAGAACAGTATCTGTAATGGGGCTATTGGCATCCTTTCGGTCAAGAAGACGGTCGACGGAGCGTTCCTCCACTTCGCCCACAACACCGACTCTTTTGTAAGAAGCCCCGCCTCAGGGAGGTCTATGCTAACTACGTCAGGCCCTCGCGTCAATGAGTAGTGTGGATAAGAAACCCGTGTGTGTCATGTCTCGCAATGGCGGGGGCGGCAGAATTGCCCAGGGTGGCCGCGCCTGCAGAGCCAAAAGGTATTTGATAAAAGCTATTATACAGATCAAGCTAAGCTGACAACATCAGACCCAGGGCCCCTAAACCAGCGAAATAGAGCCTGTCCTGCGTCTTCTGTACTATGTGCATCTGGCATCCGTGAGCATTTCAGCGCTTGTTTCCGGGTCGATGACGTTCGCCGACAGAATGATCGAGTGCAGTGCCGGCCACGCCCCGTCCGTTTGGTTGTCAAGTGTCAGCGTAAATCCAGATTGAAGCGATGCCGCACGGGTCCTGGGTATGGATGCAGGGGCGAGTAACTATTTGCTAATTCGAGCCGACAATACCTAATGAACAGTATTCATTGGCAGCTCTCGTCCAGACCATCCATCCCGTAGCCAGTACGTAGACAACTTCCTCTTCACGTAGACAATCCCACGCCCACAAAAACCCTCACGGCCCCGGCGTCGGCGTAGGAGTAGGCGTCCCTGCCGCAGACACTCCATTCCCCTTGACCTTCTTCTTCTTCTTCTTTCTCGCCACGACAGCCGGTTTCGCCCCGTAATCACTAACATCCAACCGACTCCCGCAAGTCAAACAAACCCCATCCCCCAACGGCTCACAAAAAATACTCAAACAAATAGAACACACAAACCCCACATCCACGACCCGTCTATGACAAAAACACGCGGCCCTAAAATCCACATCCACCCTCGTCGGCAGCACCAAATGCCGTCTACTCCTCTGATCCGGCAAAAACGCCATCATCAAGTACTGCAATAACCCCTTCGGCTCATCCAACGCCATATACACCCCCTTGGTCGCATCCGACGCTTGCTGCAGGAACACCGCATCACCAGATACCTTGCACACATCAATCGGAATATGAAGTCTCTGGCAGGCGAATATGGCATTCATGATTGGGATGTATTGATGCGCTGAGCCTGTGGAGCTGGATACGGAGAGGATGAGGATGCGTGATTGGAGGGTGGACTCCGCGGTTCCTTTTGTATTTGAGGATGAGGATGTGGATGTGGTAGATGATGGGTCGTTGGGGTTGGAGGTGTCGATGTCCCCTCCGTGCGCTTCATTCCATGCTAGTGTGCGTCGGTTGATGTGGCTTAGTGCGAGGGTTAATGCGCCGGCCATCATGGTGGAGGTGGTGGATTGGAGGGTTGAGGGGGTTGTTTGGGTCATTAGGTTGTGGAGGTGGCTGGAGACTTGTTCTTCGACGATGCGGAAGGGTCGGTATTTGTTTATGTTGGTGGTTGTTGTTGTTGTGCTGGGGGGTTGTGGTTGTTGGGTGGGCATGGGGATGTCGCCGTCGGGGTCGAGGTTGTTGTTGTTGGAGGATTTTTCGACTGGGTATAGCCATGTTGCTTGGGAGGTGTGGGAGGATACTACGGCCACTTCGTTGGCGTAGTTGCTTGCTAGGTGGGCGTTGATGAAGACGAGGATGTTGGCGATGGCGGTGGAGAGGGGGAGGGTTGGGGATAGGAGTGCCCAGGCGTGGGGGTTTGTGTCGAGGATGATGGTGAGAAGGGAGGGGGGACGGTCTATAGTTTGAGTATTGTTAGTTTGGGGAGATGATATCTTGGGATTGGAGATCGGCGGAGGGGGATGGGATGATGATGGATGTGGTGGACGTACCGTGGGCGCTGGTTTCGTAGTGTTCTGTTGCGTCGATGGTGTTCATCTTGTGTGTATATATGTGTGTATTTGGTGTGGGAGATTGAGGTGCGGAAGGTCAGATCTGAAGCTGTTGGTTGGTATCTAAGCTGTATACATTGTCGTGTGGAGGTGAGCTCGGAGGTGTATGCGGTGCGGAGTTGGTTCGAAGCTTCGATTCTGCTTGGCGGTTGTGTGGTTGCGGGTATAAGTCCAGAGGGAGTTTTCTGGGCAAGCTGCCTATTTAGGTATGTGAAGAAGCTGCGCTCGATAGCCGGTGAGGTGGAAATGACCGATCGAGAAGTTTTTGTAGAAGAGATGCGATTACTTCGGACGCCGCACGGAGCTGGAAGATCTCCGGCGCACGTGATCTATACTGCGGAATGTACCGATACAATGAGCCTACATTTTCAGGCATATGTGAAAGTAACTGACAAACTAATAACAATATGCATTCAACTATGTCATCCAAATTCTAACAAATGGTAAATCACGCTCTATTTATCGGGGGTTAGATGTGATGGCCTCCGGCCTCACATGTAGATGGTCATCTTTCTGCTCCGTTTGGTTCAACACAGGGATATTGAGTGACTCCTTGAGAGAACCAGACGTCGCTCTGGCCAAAGGACTAGGCTGCGGCGAGACGCCCGGCGTGTCGCCCTTGCCCTCGTGCTCTGTGAGGCCCTTACGGATGGCGAGAACCGAGTCCACGATGACAGCATCAATTCCCTCCGCCACTTGGAGCTGCGCAAGCAGTTAGTAAATAGATGACACAACTGGTAGGAGCTACATACCTTGACGCTCTCAGGGTCGTTGTTAATGGCACCGTACGACACACAAACCAGACCAGACTCCTTCACGACCCGGACCAAACGCGGGCAAAGCACTAGCGCTTCGGCCTGCGAGACAACGCCCAGCAGGTTCCAGCGGGACGCGAAACGAATCGCTTCCTGCAAGCTGCTGGCACGGATGTCTCCCACAGGCGAAGCACCAGAGTCCGTCAAGAAGAGGACTGGGATGGATGGCTGCTTGAACGAGAGCAGCAAGCAGATATCCGGGTTGAAGCTGGAGAATATCATGTTCCGGCCTTGACCCATGTCGTAAACCTTGGTGAGAACTGTGTCCACGAAGGAGTTCAGCTCCACCGCATACGTATCCATCTCTTCTTCCTCGCTCTCGTGGAGCATAGGATATTCTGGCGATCTAGGTCAGATCGTCGTGTAACTGTTCTTTCAAGGGAAGAGGTACTCACTGAGTTCGATATTGAATCCCACCGACTTGGGCAGCTTCTGGAACAACTCGGCCAATGTGGCAAATGGGGCCTGAATGTGGTTGCCGCGACTGTTTCCCTTGAAGCCCTTCTTCTTGAAATCACGGGTATGCTTGATCTTCTCGTTGAGTTCGGTAGGGTCATACTCGGAACCGCCTACAGACATAGACCGCTGGCGGAAAGCAGCGGTCATCCCCTCTCCGATGCCGTCCGTACCCGGTAACGGGGATCCCGGCCTGCGAGCTGGACCCTTGTCGCCCAACTGCAGGAACTGCTCTAGGGTAAGGGTGTGGACCGGCGCGTCAATACCCGTCTCGCTGACGAGGAAATCATGGTAGATGACAGGAACATGATCCTTTGTGAGCTGCACATCAAACTCCACGTAGGACGCGCCCAAGTTCGCGGCAGCGATGAAAGACTGGACGGTATTCTCGCCCAGCTGCAGCGAATTTCGACTGGCCATGTTCTTGCCCAGACCGCGATGTCCAATCACCATCGTTGAGCTCATACTCCTCCAATAGGTCTGCTCTCCCGTAACCGTCATGTTGGGATGCTTGAAAGGCGTAATGATGAGAAAGTTGAAGGTCACCGAGCCAATGACCTCGAGGGTGTTGGCAGCCACAATAGGAACTGTGGAGTCGCCCTTGAGGTTGATACGGTTCGATCCCACCGATTGTTTGATACTGGAAAGCAGGGCAACACCACGCCCAACCACCTTGTCTTTCGAGCCAGCGTACGTAGGAATCAGATCAAAAAGGAGCCTGACCTTCGTAGCATCGGCGGCGTGGAAGACAATGGGTTCGGTGGAGATATTGTCATGGACAGGGAGATCGATCACCTCCGGCTCTCCATGAGCTCCGTTAGCAGAGACCACCAAAGACAGAGCAGTGTCAAGTTGGGTGGAATGCGCATTCTCCATCGGGATCCGGTCAAGGTTAACTGCTGCCGTATGCGCCCGCATGTCCATGGTTCCCAGGCTCACCAAAATCATGGATTCATCGGTGAGATACCGGTGTCCAAAGGTCTTGATAGGCTCTGCATTCCGTAGAGAGGTCGGGGCAGGAGTACCGTTCGATCTTCTCTCGGCAAGCGACGACAGGGGAGGAGAGGGCGGATCAGAGGCCACAGGAGGCACAGGGATCACAGGCTCCGATTCATTAATAGTTGGCGCGGGGGTGACCTTGGCAAGACACCGAGCGATGTCAAGGTGACCTCTCAAAGACGCATGCTCCTTTGCGGTCCAGCCAGAGGAGTCGCATGTCTCCAGATTGGCACCGGCCTCGATGAGTAGCTCCACTACACTCAGCGCGCCATCAACACAAGCAATAAACAAAGGAGTCCAGGAGTATGTGTTTTCCGCAAGCTCTGTATCTGCCTTTTGTTCGCCGTTGCCCTCGAGCAGGATCTTGGCGCATTTATCATGGCCGAACCGGGCTGCAACATGCAATGCAGTTTCGCCTTGTTCATCCTGATAGTTGATATCCACGCCGGCCTCAACCAACAGCTTGACAATGTCCACAAAGTTGGCTTTGGTGGCCAAAGCAAGCACTGCACTAGACCGCGAGACTTGCTTACGGATCTTCGCCTTGTCCTTGTTGGCACCATGCCAATTCTCTGCCTCGAGGAGAGCACGGGTCGTCAACGGGTGGCCCCCAACAACACTCAGATGCAACGGAGCCCAGCCATCGTTGTCTTGCCAGCGCGGACTATCAATGCCCTCGGTCACATCAAACAGGTCCCACGCCTGCAAATGCTCGATGATGACTTCGCAGACAACCTTGAATCCATACTGCGCCGCGTAGTGTAGCGGCGTGCGTCCCGCAATATCCTTGGCGATGAGCGCACCTCGTTGGTTGGGCTGGAGCTGGTCCAAGAGATGCTGCAGAACCGACACAGAGGGATCGGACCGATCCAAATGGCTAGGCTGGCCCGCCTCCGAGATGACTGGGCGAGGGGGCTGCAAAGTCGGCAGGGCAGCGGGGGTGATGTAATTGGATGTTTCCAGAGGGAAGTCTAGGACCATGGACGCAGATTGCTCTGAGTCTGTGGTAGACTGCGCCCGGCCAATCGATATCACCAAGCGATGTATACAATTGCGCCTATTGATATCATCCTCTTCGTCCAGAGAGTCCATGCGACCCAGAAGGACGGAGATGCAGCGGGTGGAACGGTAGTTGATGGACCGCTGCAGGAGGCTGCTAAGGACCTTAGGGTATACATCTTCTCCCGACTCATCTGCCGCCGCTTTGAGAGTTTCCAGTAACTCCAGCAGCACATGAGTATCATCCTTGCGCAGCGCCTCATCGACCGTCTGAAGCATGCTCGCAGGCAAGTTCAGGTTGGGGCGTGCAGGGCCGTTCTTCAATGACAAGGAGGAGCGTATGGAGCTCGCATCGTCGTCGATCTTCTGCTCGCCCAGGACGGACAAGCGGTCATTGATCTTCCTCAACGCGTCAGTGACCCGGGTGTTCGAAGCGAACGGCGCCGGGTCGACCTTGGTCTGCAGATACTTCTGCTGCGCTTGAGCGCCAACCTTCTTGTCAAGCTTCTTGGTGATTTTGACGAATCCTTGACGGTTGAGCTCGCCGTACCACTGCAGTTTACGCATCTGGCTACGCAGTTCCAGCAAAGCAGCCAGGAGGTCTTCGACATCCTGGGAATCCAATCGCTGACCACCATCCAAAGACTGCCCGTATCTGTCCTCCAGCAACTTTAGACGGCGGGAGAAGTCGGCGTACTTTTTGTTGTAAAAGTGATCGACATCCTCGAGATTTCGATCGAGGGAGTAGAAGAAACCTATGCGACAGAGTTAGCTAAGATCGCATTGTGATGAACAATGCAATCATCGGAAGAGCGACTCACCAGCAAGGTCCGCCTCCTGGCCAGCTTTCACTTTTTCCGCCGCAGCCTTGATGAGCTTCTTCAGGGCCTTGTACTTGATGTAATCATCGCCCCACTCGGGGACCACTTTGTGGGATAATTGGCGTCCGAACTTCATTTTCGAAGAAATGTGTATGCAGGTTGTTTTGAGCGGTTTGTGTGAGAACCCAATGAGAAAGGATTCTTGAGGGGGGAGTATATAAATCTGAGAGCTGAGACACCACGGCTTTCTTTGGTTAAGTGAGATTCAAGAGAACAGACTTTAGCCCACGAACCCAACGGTGTAAATGCCACGTAGATCAAATATTATTCGACGGGCAAATGCGAGAAAGACAAAAGGAAAAGGACAGGTGTAGCTTGAAGGAGAAGAGCGCCATGTGTCAGTTTTATTGCGGAGACATGGAGAATGGTAGAAGAGACAGTTGAATTGAAAATATGGGAGGTGAAAACCTGAGGAATTAGGCGGCTTCAAGAACAAACCGTGTTTCGGAGAAGAAGATGTTGAAGAAAAGAAAGAAGAGGAGGAAGACGGAACAAGGCGAAGGAATTAGTGTGGTTAAGAGGGAAGGATGAAAGAAAGCGCAGTTCATATACTACTTACTACTTGATTGATCGTCAAGTAGTAGTTAAGGCGAATCCCGATAAAGGGGAGACCAACCGACGGAACCTATCAGCACGTGCCCAAAGGGAGGGTTTTTGTAGCTTCGAGAAGTTCCAGCAAGGTCCAGCAATTGCAGCTGCACCCCAGCTAAAGTAAGCAGGTAAGCAAGCAAGAAGAGAGAGGGAGAAGAGGGGCGAGCAAAGGGCCGAGGCCAAATAACTAGTCTTTAAGTCTAAGGCGGTGCTAGCGAAATTCGCTAGTTAGACATGGTCTCCAT